CCTTTCAACTCACTTAAACCCTCGCGGGGGTCAACCCCTTCAACTCACTTAAACCCTCGCGGGGGTCAACCCTTTCAACTCACTTAAACCCTCGCGGGGGTCAACCCCTTCAACTCACTTAAACCCTCGCGGGGGTCAACCCTTTCAACTCACTTAAACCCTCGCGGGGGTCAACCCCTTCAACTCACTTAAACCCTCGCGGGGGTCAACCCTTTCAACTCACTTAAACCCTCGCGGGGGTCCAAACCCTTCAACTAACTTAAAACCCTCGCGGGGGTTCACCCTTTCAAACTCACTTAAAACCCCGCGGGGAGTCCACCCTTTTCAACCCACTTAAACCCTCGCGGGGGTCAACCCCTTCAACTCACTTAAACCCTTCGCGGGGGGTCAACCCTTAAACTCACTTAACTCGCGGGGGTTAAACCCTTTTCAAAATCACTTAAAACCCTCGCGGGGGGTCAAAACCCCTTCGTCAACTCACTTAAAACCCTCGCGGGGTCAACCTGTCAACTCACTTAAAACCCTCGCGGGGGTCAACCCCTTCAACTCACTTAAACCCTCGCGGGGGTCAACCCCTTCAACTCACTTAAACCCTCGCGGGGGTCAACCCTTTCAACTCACTTAAACCCTCGCGGGGGTCAACCCCTTCAACTCACTTAAACCCTCGCGGGGGTCAACCCTTTCAACTCACTTAAACCCTCGCGGGGGTCAACCCCTTCAACTCACTTAAACCCTCGCGGGGGTCAACCCTTTCAACTCACTTAAACCCTCGCGGGGGTCAACCCCTTCAACTCACTTAAACCCTCGCGGGGGTCAACCCTTTCAACTCACTTAAACCCTCGCGGGGGTCAACCCCTTCAACTCACTTAAACCCTCGCGGGGGTCAACCCTTTCAACTCACTTAAACCCTCGCGGGGGTCAACCCCTTCAACTCACTTAAACCCTCGCGGGGGTCAACCCTTTCAACTCACTTAAACCCTCGCGGGGGTCAACCCCTTCAACTCACTTAAACCCTCGCGGGGGTCAACCCCTTCAACTCACTTAAACCCTCGCGGGGGTCAACCCTTTCAACTCACTTAAACCCTCGCGGGGGTCAACCCCTTCAACTCACTTAAACCCTCGCGGGGGTCAACCCTTTCAACTCACTTAAACCCTCGCGGGGGTCAACCCCTTCAACTCACTTAAACCCTCGCGGGGGTCAACCCCTTCAACTCACTTAAACCCTCGCGGGGGTCAACCCTTTCAACTCACTTAAACCCTCGCGGGGGTCAACCCCTTCAACTCACTTAAACCCTCGCGGGGGTCAACCCTTTCAACTCACTTGAACATTTTTCAAAAACCCTCCCAGAAAACTGCCGAGGCCGGAGCTGTCAAAACCTGTTGCGTGGCTCAGCCGCCTACCATTGCCCCCAGGCGTCTGCTGTATCCCTAACTGAAAGTAACAGGAAGGAAGTAAGTACTGTTGCGTTCCTTGACAACACCACCCCTGCAAACTTGAACCAAGAAACACTTGCCAACCCTAACCCTAAACCAAATTGAACAAAAAATACACACTGAACAGCTCCATCAAAAGGGTTCAAGTGAAAAAGTTCAGGGGCTCGGGTTCCTAGCATAGGGTTGAAGGGTTAAAAGGGTTATTCTGGTGTGGTGCAAGGGTTTCTGGGGCTGCATCATACGGTTTAAGTGCTGCTAAAGGTCGCTGATTAGGGTGTAAAGTTTGAGCTTTAGGGTTCAGGATGCAGGTTCTACAAGGTGCTAAGTAAGGGTTTTAAGTGGGTATATTTCTAGGATCGAAATAGCGAGCTCGACTACAGACTCAACGATCCGAAGCTGCTGAACCCTAAACCCCAAACCCTGAGTTCGGAGTCTGCGCTTGGCTCTGCTCCGGAGCACTTTAGCCGCTGGGCCGCTACCTAAACCTAAATAAACCCTCTCTAGCCTTTGTACACGTATTCATTAATCCCTGACAGCCCTGCTCCCCTGAAAAAGCGATAAAGCAAAGCACGGATACCCCAAACAACGCTCACTTTAAACCGCCCTACCGCGAGAAGCCCGCCTACTCCCCAAAACCGTCTTAAACCTGAGTGAAATGCCCTGAAGCCTGAACCATCCCGGAGCCGTAAACGATCCCCAAACCACAAACCCTCCTAAAGCCCAAACCTACCTAAACACTACATCCTCGTAAACCCTAATCTCCGAAACTCAACTCTCCTACCCCTAAGCCCTCCGAAAGCCCTGGAACTCTCCAAAACCCTACTGTAAACCTTCTAAAACGCACTAAGCCCTAAACCTTGGACAAGCCTGAAAACCCCTACCCCTAAAAACATTTCTAACCTCAAAAACCTAAAAATTACACTCAAATCGAAACCTACTGACATCCTCAACAACACCCGTAATGGCCTCATTCTTAACGGACTAAACACTCACCTCAACTCCCCCAAAGCCCGCAACACCCCCAGTGCACTCAACACCGACAACACCGAACAAACACCAAAAACCCTGAACACAAACACCAGCAAGAGCATCCGACAACAATAGAAACAATGAAAATTAAAGTACGACTAGCTATACTACTAACAAAAAACCATAAGAGCAGCAACAGCAAAAGCATGGACCACCACCGACAGCCAACAAATTAACCGGAAGCAGCATTTGCTACTGATCCATGCCAGGCCCCCGCCTCGACTCAATACAACATTTCCCACCCTCCGTGGCTGGCTCCAGGCTTGGAAGAAAGCAACCCAAAACACTCCAGAAGGGTAGACCAAGCTCACTCGCCGTGAGTCTCACTCTTCCTCGCCGGCTCCGGGTCGTGTGTCCGGCCTCTCGGCACTCTCGATCTTGGACGGGCCATGGAAGCCAAACCAGGGGGCTCTCCCAAGAGGGTCGGCCATGGAATGGTTTCCCCAAAGGGCGCTGCCAAGAAAGAGGTCCACACTAGCATCACCGGGTCTTTGGATGAGCCCTCCTGCACGGCCAACCGCGAGGTCCAGCCCCACCCATCTCCCACAATCCAGTATTCGGAGTGGTTACCGACACGGGGCCAGCTGAACTGCCTTTCGTGCCGGATAATGAGATGACGAGTGGTTAACTGAAAGTGTCTGGTGCCACCATCCTCTTCGCCAAAAGCACAAGCGCACAGAAGATCACCCGCCCAGCCTCCCGATCACACCCGCCAACCGACAGACCGACCAAGCAGGCAATCAATGCACGATTCACCACCAAGCCAGACAGAAACAGACCATCAACATTATCGCCATTAAACCAATGGTTGCCTCCCTCCATGAACTGAAAGCACCGTGACAACTCGTATCTCTTACCTAAAACTCTGCCGCCCGAAACCTGGAACCAACGCCAATCCCTCAACCCTCAACCCTAAGCCTAAGTAACCCCCAGCACCTCAGCACGAGAACCGGGCCCAAAACTCTAATCGCTCAGAGCGTGCTTTCGGTCAGGAGCTAGGCGAATGTAAGAGCTGGGAGCCGCACGTGTCGTTCAGGAGCGAAGTCTGTACGTCCAAACCAGACCTGACCAGGCGCCAAGAAGTCCAGGAAGGGCTTCACGGTTTGTAGAATGGTGGATAGGGTTTCGGGGTCTACAAGCTTTCATGGGTTTCTGCGGCGGAGGGGTAAGGTTTGCAAGGTTCGGCGCCAAGTTCCGGTGCTGCTTGCAAGTGTTGCTTCGATCCGCTGCCAGTGGTTCAGGCGTTTTGGCTTCCCCGTAACGAGTTGTCGAAAATTTACTCCAGCGAAGACGACGATCCCAAGGGCAGCTTCCCGGCAAAGGCATCAGACGTCAAGGCAAGGGTCGGGATGAATTAAGGTACATCTCACTCGTCAGAACCCTACTCTGCAGCAGCTGAAGGAGGCTTGAGGGATCAGAAGCCAGGTAAGAACCCAGGATGTTGTTTGTACGTTCATAATTGCTGCTTTCTTGTCGCTCTCGCAATTTTTTTAGCTCAAACCCTTGACGGATACTCGTAGCATCGCCTGCGGAACTGCGAAAGCAAACCCGAGCAACTGGAACTACTGATAAGTAGTGCCCCAACTGGTACTCCGATATTCCATGATATTCCTCTGTTCGCCTGGGCGCCGGCGGAAGCAGCGAGAGGTTCCTGCATTTCCTACAAAGATCCACCTGTGAGCCCGTTGTCCAGCACGTTGCAGTTCTACCCGCACTCTTTGGCTACATCTGACAGGACAGCCACACGACTCGAGGAATAGCAAACAAATCCGAGCGCCCAGTGCTTTGGTACCCGCACGATGCTGGAATCAGATTTTGCAAGCGGCAAGTCGTGGCAAGCCGTTCCAGGTTGAGGTTCAAGAAATCATACAAGCTGGTGGGGGACCTGCTTTTTTGCACTGTGTCACGTTGCATCTTTACAACTACCTCCGTGAAATTCCGCTATGATGAATTGCGCCTTCTGTTTGCTTCGATTCCCGGATTCCTGGTAGCGCACAAAGAACGAGGTTTTAAGTAGACCAGAAAGTCTTGCCGGTCCTTGCTCATTTTGCGAATGTATTGTGGCTTTGTGGTCTCGGTGTCCTGGGAAAGGAGCCCGATGCGGCGCAAACCCAACATAGCCAACATACTGGTACTGGAGGTCAAGCTTGCCTAAATCGTTTGGCGTGATTCGAACAATGCCTTCCCTGCCGTCGCTCTGTTTGAGCCCTTCGCAGATCAGCGACCACTGTCTAGCTGCATCACCATGGCCTTCGGAATTATGCTGCATCAGACTTGCCTCTTGCCTCTTCACAGTCACTACCCTTGCGGTGCTGCGTGTGGCATGACAACGCTACATCTCTATGATTGGATTGAAGCCTCCCTGACGCAACTGGGCTTTGCAGCTGTTGCTGACACCAAGCAAGCAAAGACAGCATGAAGCTGAATGCGCAAGCCAAATCACTACCAGTTGCACTCTGCACGGGTGGCATGCTGTGCTTGGCTTCGCTTGCCAGCTCATGCAGCCACGGAAGCAGGATCGCCTCGGCCACTTGCGTTCACCGCTCCAGGTCTGCAATCTTCTTCAAGGCTATCAGGAGGTCCTGCACGCAGCCGGCCTCGGCACAGCACTGCTCCACCTTGGCTGGCGTGACCTTGCCCTTGTCGGCGATCTCACACGCTTCCTTAGCCTGAGCCTCAGTGAGCTCCTGCCCCATGAGGCGTGACACAAGCTGGCACAAGCAAGCGCCCTGCATGAAGCCCAGCTCAATGGCAAAGTTGATGCGGCCGGGCCGAATAAGGGCAGGGTCGAGTTTCTCCGGGTGGTTCGTGGTCATGATCAAGATGCGGCCAGGAGAGTCCTGAGCTTTCTGGTGCTTACAAACGGTCGAAACCTGGCGTCAACATGCAAGCAGTGAATCAAGGAATAGACAACTATCGTAGTTCGTGCTAGTTGCAGTTACTGTTGACCGGTCATGGGGGTTGCAGACACTGAACAGGGCCGAGCTTTTGTCAAAGTTGTGTACTGAAAGTTGATGGAAGATGTGGGACCGTTGTACCGCGCGTGCGCTTACTGTAACAAGATTTCTAAATTCACCACCAACCCTTGTTGTTAGTAGTCGCAGCAGTTTTGAACTCGCTGAACGCAGCTGCTTGCTTGACATCAGAAGCAGTTGCAATTTCGTCTTCGGTGTGAAACATGAAATGGTGTACTGTAAGATTGCATTTGCGGCTGGTTACATGCAAGAAGGTTACAGCAAACTTGAAAACAAACGACATGGGCAAGGAATGAACCCACAACGACGAACAAATTAACAATCTGATATGTGCCGAAGCAGCTACTTTGGTTCGCATCATTAGGGTGAGAAGGACGACATCCATGCCAACCGACTAGAGGCAGCACAGTGTGACACCCGCAGCACCACCACTCCACGGTCCATAGGCAGGACCCACCGCCCATACCCACTTGATGCTCGCGAGCCACACCACCACATCCGAGGAAGGCGGTTGAAGTGAATGATGCAATTTCTTTGATATGCGTAGACACGCACATGGAAATCTGTTTCCTCTCGATCCATCTCTCTCCCTCTCTCTCACGGACTCCTGCTACTTAACCCATTTATTTATCTGTTTTTCTAGCCCTCTATCTATAGCTCTATGCAATACCTGGCAATGCATGTACGGATGCTTCACCGTTCTGCCTCAGCAATCTCACCATCTTCCCTGGCTGGTTGTAAGTGTGGAAAACGGAAGAACCTTGCCTCATCGAACCTCCAGACTCCCAGTTGCTTCTCCCAGAAATGATTTTGCGACCGTGGCTGCCCCGCATTCAAGCCTTTGGGAGGACAGATTCGTCTGAAAAGATTCGACACTGTTGGTTTCGTTGCCTTACTGTGGGCTTTGGGTGGGTGAACAATGTGCAGCCGCGAAACCACAACCCCATCCAGGACATTCAGTACACCTGAGAGATTCAGCTCGTCGGCATCTCGGCTGAAGCGACTAGCGAAACTCTTGGGTTCATCCTGCCCCGAGCTGACACCCAGCCGGCTGATGGCTTCAGCAAGATGCTCCACTGAATTGCTGGACCTGCGCTCGGCTCTCTCCTCGTCATCGTCCGGCTCCCCATCCTCTTCATCCTCGTCTTCCGTGTCGTTCTGTTGTGGGACCGGCAGTGCACTGCCGGAAGGCTCTTTGCGACTTTCGGCCTCTGGTCCAATCGTGATCGTCCGGACAAGGCTCAGTGTGTGAGATTGGGCGCGGCTCAGCTGGGGGGGCCCTCGCTTTGCCAGCTCAGCAAGGAGCTGTTCGCCCTTGCTTACTGAACCTGTGCCTCCTGCACCGGCCCCTTTGCCTTTCCCATCGTGGCTCCCTGGCAGCGCACCCTCAGCTAACATCTCCTGGCCTTTGCAGACTTCCGATGCTGAGCCTTTGCTGCCCTTGTCCTTGCCGTCTCGCATTTTCCCTTTGCCCTTGGCCTTCTTCTTGTTCTCCTTGGCCGGCGATCTGCGGTACACGACCTTTGAGGCAGCATCTACGTCTTCCATGACGAAGACGATGTTGTCGAACCTCATGCGCACAGCCTCATCGTCGCCGGGAACAGCAAAAACTAGGTCGAACATCTTGTCAAACAGCTCCTGGTTGGTCTTGACTTTCGTGAGTGGTACATCGACGATATGCCTCCCTGTGAACTGCGCGATGCTCTTGATCAGGCTGGTCTTTCCTGTGCCCGGAGGTCCATGCAGCAGCAAACCTAACTTGTTGGGAAAACCCGGGATCGCAAACTTGCCCTTCGTCTTGAGGAAATCGTCGAGCATGGACAGGACCTGCGCCTTCTCGGGGAAGTAAAGACAGTCGAATGTCTTGTGATCGGAGAGGAGGTACTTCTTGTAGGTGCCATGCTGGGGCGATGCCTTGCCGAATCCCTTGCCCATCCCATCTGAATCCTGCTTCTGCAGCTGTGGCATGAAGAAATAGCGGGATCGGTCTATGGAATTTGCTTTTTGACGCTTGTATGACTCCAAAGCCTCTTCGATGAAGCTGTCGACATTCTTCTCAGCATTGGGTCCAATAGATCGGAGGCAAAAGGTCGTGGTTGTTTTCCCGGCTGCAGGTGCACCTTTCCCTTTGCCCTTGGACTCGTCTGAGGCTTCGGGAGCAATGCACGTCGTGTGATACATGAACTCGATCTTCCTCTTGGCATCGACGAGTAGGTAGTCGCGCTCTCTGGGACCCTTGGTCACACCTAAGCTGCTCAGACATGGGAGGTTCACGAAAGATAACGAAGTGTATACATGCACCAAAAACAGCAAAATCTGCTCGCAGTACAAGCTTGAGGCCATAGCCCATGAGCTTCTTCACTGAAGCATCCATGTCCCCAATGTACTTGATTTCTTGCTTGAAATTACCGTACCGGTCGAAGCTGGGCCCGCTTCCGCTGTCCGACGTTGCACTATTGTCCAGCAAGTAGATCTCGGCATCCTGACGAAACTGCGTCGTTTCTAAGGTCATATCATGGGGCCTATGCTGATGTGCACTGGTCACAGCCACTCCTTGATGTGAAGCGCGTCTTTGTCTTTGTTGATGTACAATCGGATCGCCTTCTGCAAAATATTGTTACGTTCTGTGGACGTTTCCTCAGAGCCGAGAATATCTCGAGGACCATGATAATGCTGGACGTGCATGTTGTCTCCCTGCGTGAAAACGATGCGTCTCGTGTAGTGCTCCTGGCCAGCTGCAAGATACCTTCTCAGAAGCTCGCCGAAGGCTTCGATAAGCCGCGGGACCTCCACGACTTCGCTGGGGCACATCAGGAGCAGAAGCAGCTAAGTTGAACTAAGTTGGACTTGCCACGATTGAAGGCGTTTTTTCTACGGTATCGTACTTGTGATGACAAGATAACCAACCCTCAAGTCATTTCCAGGGATGCAAAAACTTCGAAGGCCTCCTTCAGCAGGAAGGGGACCAAGGCGCACAGCAGGATGCTGACCAGTGGGCTGTCTCCCGCGAGGCGGCCCAAGGAGTTCATCAGCCCGAATTGCAAGCCGAGATTGTCCATGGCGCCCACGGGTTGCTTCCGCTGCAGAGACAACCTCGCTTAGCCAACCGACTGACACTTCACGGCGAGATGATCATGGCTGACCCATCTGCAGACATTTTCTTTCTATTCCCTGCATGTTTGAACCGGGACCATCGAATGGCGAGGGCTGGCGATGGCTGCAGGCACAGTCTCCTGCCCAGCCCGGCTTTCCCAAGGCTCGGAGGAAGCAGCGCGTGGCCACATCCCCTTGAAGGAGGGGTCGCAAATGGCCCTGTGCTCGATTCTTGCCATGTAGCCGTGTAGCTGAATGCAGTGCCACTCTTCCAACTCTTGGATAGATGAGGCTAGAGGGTTGAGCACAGAATCCGTTCCTCTAGCAAACTGGCAATGGAAGATAGCATCATCTATGTGGTCAGGTGATGCACCCCAACAATATTCATGCATTCTGAGAATGCCGACAATACCATAACGGAAGAAGTGGTGGCAATCGCATCATCAAGCAGCCAGCGACGACTTTTCACGGCACAGCAGATCTCGGGGTCCCAAGAACCATCGTGCCTATGCCAGCAGCTCACCATACAGGCCGGACCTGGAGGGCTGCGGAGCAACGGAAGCAAAAACCACGAAAGCTGTGGACAGAGTAGATGCGTCTGGGAACGGTTTGGGCTTCTCAGAGCAGCACTCCACCAGATGTGTCACGGTTGGGTGGATACCAACATAGCAAGGAGTTCTCCACCTCCGCTGGTTACAAACACGTTGCAGGTAGGGTTTGGTAGGAGCGCGGAACACTGAGACCCTCCTCCGAACAAAATCGGGAAATGCTAATTACAGGGCGTCTACTGCACTGTATGCTGGCAATTGGGAGCTGCCACCTGAACGCTTGCGCACGCTCGCGTCCATGGGATATCCGAACGGCTTCTTTATCGCCAAGTTTACCTGCTCCTCCTGTTCATGCTGGATGCAAACAATTCTTCGGACAGCCTGGAAACGTTGGTGTGCAGACGATGCAGGACCTCGGGAGCACTGATACGAAGTTGGGATTATCACGATCCTAGCAAAATCCGCCCTGCAAGCCGTATTTTCTGTGTGGCTGGCCCGTTGCAACATGGACGACTCTCTGGAAAGAGGAAAGTGGATGCTGCAAAATCTGCCTCCATCTCTGCATCTAAGCCGCCTTCCACTTGGCCATCTCTAGGCGTTGAGCATCAGGCGCCTGCAAGCATGCGGTCTGTGCCCCACCGCTTAAAAAAAGCCGAAACATTCGACGCGGGCCTTCTCCCCAAACCGACGTGCTGTGGCGTTAAAGAGTTGTAGCAGCTGAACCTGGCCCGTCTGCTGGCATTGTAGAATTCAGCACCTCTGCTTTGGATACGTCTCCGCAGGCTGGCCAACTAGCACCAGGGCGTTGGGCTGACATTAGTCAAGGTAGCACATCTAATCATAGACCTTGAGCTGCAAACCTGCGTCCGCCTTTACCGACTTAGATGGTTCATGATGATGGGATAGAGGCGAACTGGTATGAAGTTATGCGCTACTGTCGGACCGCATCTCATGCCGTGGGCCAGTCTGCTCACCCCGGACATTCGCAGCAAGTTCTACAGGAACCGGACAATAGCTTCGGAATGGAAGGACCTCTTCTGCTGTGATGCATACCTCATGCCCCATGCATGTCCAACCCGTTGGTCGACACAGTCATGTCATGCCCTGCACCGGATGTTCGAGGCCAAACAAACACTTTTGGTTCCGTGCCTCTGTGGACATATCGTGTCGTTTGAGCTGCAGCCCCGGCCGTCTCTGCAAAGCCCAGGCCTGCTTGTCGCCTTTCGAGAGCCCCTTGGACGCAAGGTTTTCTGCACTGCAGAATGATCAGAATATTCCAGAGCTGCCCACCAGATGCCCTGCGAGTCCTACCCAGCATCCACGCACGTCAGATGTGCAGCGTTCAAACCCCGATTGGGATTGAAGGCTGTTTCGAAGAACACGACGTGATGCTGTGCTGGGGACTTCGGGTAAGTTCTGAGTTCGCGACGACGGAGATGGCAGGCGTAAAATGAAGAAGGAGCGCCTGACAAGTCAACCGGGAAACAATAATCAAACAGCGATGATGAAGAAATGGCCTGGTGTCGCTGCTTGTTCAGGGATCCAGCCCAACCTGCAGAGGTAAATCACGGCCAACTCAACTCCTGACACTGGACGTGCACACACTCACGGCGCCGCCGTTCCACTGCCTGCCAAGGTTGCATACTCCACATCAGTCCCCAACACAATGTAGGATACCTGAGGCTGGCGGCAAAAGTGAATTGGTGCCTGGTCTGCTGTACAATACAAAGCAAGCCACACTGGCAGCTGTCTGCATGGCGCTGTCCGGCAACTGCGGCTCTAAAATGGAATGGCCAAGGAAGGCATCCAAACCTCAACAACATGATCGTGGCATGTGTTGGCCAGTCCAAACTGGTGCACCGTCATGCCATGTCCTACAGCCCAACATGCGCCGGACACAGAGTCCTGCAGAACCTACAGCTGAATCTGCGATATTGAAATCCCATATAATCCCATGATCTGGATAGCAAGCCGTGCCAGACTTTCGCACAGCTATGATTCTCGGTTGAAGTTAAAAAGCATGTTATGAAGCAAACTTTGCATTAGTGCATGGATACAGGGAATCAGAATTAAGCGGACGCGGTGTAGTACCCGCTCTTCACGCACGACGGCTGCCAAGTTTCTGGCTACAGACATCGGGGAAGTGGCCTTGCAAACATGTAACATGAAGTTTGCCTGTTGACATCGTGACCTGAGACAAAAGTGACAATGAGTGAAGCCCTTGTTGTCAAACGATCGCCCTCTGCAGCTTTGCGAAGCAGCTGCGAACAATCTTCGCATAATTGACGGTCGGATTCAGATTAACTAACGATGCGTCGTGGCTCACCGATGCACGCACACCAACAGTTTCCTGCCAGACGTGAAATCTCTGTACCGGCTACCAGACAAACAAGTCGCTGATTTCGAGGCGTGTGTGGGTGTGTCACCAGCCGCCAGAGCTCGACCCCGTAGAGTTCGAAAGTAGTTGCCGGATTCCTCATAGATGAGGAGGAAGTAGTCTGTAACACCGGGTGCTCAACTAAACAAAGGACTGCCCTCAATCGATTTGAATGGAAAGCGCAAAACAAGGTTTCTTGGATCGATTGGAAAAATTCGGCTTACATTTATCAAGCTTGTTTGGTTCAAGAGCGACAAAAAAGACGTGTTTACAACGGGTCCTAAGGACGAACTTACGATATCTAAGACTCATTTGAAGTCCAGGTCCGAAGGTAACCATATCATGCCCGATCATTCCAACCAACGCAGGAGGGATTTGGCCGGAACAATTGGTTCAAATCAGGAAAGCCCCTTGAAGTACTGCAGGACGGTTCGTACTCTGTCAATCCGGATGCCTGCCTTCGTTCGAGGCAAGGGCAAATGGACCCATAAGCTAGTTTCTAGATTGCAGCGCCTAATCAAGACTGTCAAGCTCGTGAGCGGTTCAAGGTTCACAGTCCCCTCCCTCTACTTCTCGAAGCCATGTCAAGACAGAAAGAGCAGCTGGACAAGATGTCCGCGCTCCTTTCAGAGGTAGCGGCTCAGCTCGAACAAATGAAGCTTCAGGCTTCAGGGCGAGCGACAGGAAAGGCAACGGAAAGAGCTCACAGCAAAAGTCGGGTCTATATGGAAGACAGGCTCAACGCCCCACAGGCCTCCTCATCGGTGCACCTTCCGACAGCACTGCAGCCATCGTCTTTCACAGTGCCCATAGAGCAGAGAGTAGACCTCAACGCTCCAGCCACGGTCGGACAGTGCATGGAAATGATCCAGATGGCAATGCGTTGCGCCCGCAAGGGGAGCGTGTACGCCTCCCTGGCCCCTGGCCACCACACAGGCCAAGACCAATGAGCGGGTGGGGCTTTTAGAGCAGCAGGAGGTCCGAGCTTTGCGTATCCGGACAGCTTGGGCTGAGGAGGATATGCTCTTTGCTCAGGTCGAGCAAGCAAAGCGAACCATCGTTTGTCGGAACTTCCCCTCCTGGCTCAGACCACCGCCTCACAGTGGAAAAAGCCGTGCCAAGGCAGGCCTCTGGAACATCGATGGCATGTGGCACCTGGCCAGGGACACCGGGGCTTCTGGAAAGACGGAGCTGTTGGCAACTTCGATCTTCACAGTCCCTTCCCTCACAGTCCGGAAGCGGATCCTGGACGTGGCAGACAGGGTTCTTCCCTGGTGCCACCACACAGAGGAGCAGCCCGAGGAAGCAAACGTCGACGAAGCAAAGGCGGCCAGAAAAAGGAGAAGGCGGAGGCCACCACCTACGAGTGGAAGAGCTCTGGGCCGGTGAAGCAGTCACCGGGGGCCCCGGTCACTCAGTTCGAGCGACGGCTCGCCTGGTCGTTGCAGGGGCTCATGAATGCCTACCGCGGAGCCTTCTCCAAGTACGCCAAGGAGCCGTTGATCCTCCGCTGGAAGACACTAGCCTTGGTGGACAGCAAAGAAGCCTGGCTGGGAAGGATTGTCTATAAAAGGGCAGCCTTCTCACAGAACACCACGGCCGGCACCCCCTCACATATTGGGTTTGCGAGATCCACATCCCCTCGGAGCATGCCCCGAAGCTGCTGGAGTCGTGGCGGAAGATTTGGTATAACCAGTTGAGACAGCAGCAGGTCAACCAAGCCACTGTGGAGCAGGAAGCCTTCGACAAGGCCGCAGAGCTCACAGCAAACATCTAATCTATGCTGAGGCGAAGCGACTCAGCCGGTTCTTGACCAAAGCCATTCCGGAGCATGTGCAGCCCGAGGATGGAGCAGATGACGAGTGAAGTGCCGAGCAGGAGGCGACCTTCACAGTCTCCCCCGAGCAGAGACCGTCGGAGATGCTCGACGAGGCGACCCAAATGAAGCGCACTCACAGTGACGGGGGCTCGGCAATGAGTGCGCCAGTGCCCCCAGCTCTGTTCCGATGGCTCCTCAAAGCCCCAAGCCTTGTGCCATCTTGTGCCGGCTACTACCCGTTCGCCACAGGCTGAGCTGAATGGGGCAGTCGAGGCAGCCAAGATCCCCCATGTCAACAACGGCGGTGTCCCCGGTGACTACTCACAAGAGGACTGGGAGGCTTGGTGCATCAAGCGCCGGAGCGCCGGATGGCAGGCACAAAGTGACAGCCCGGCAAGCGCGCCCGCTCTTCCTTGCAATCTTCCGTAGCAGCTGCGCGCCTCAATTTTTCACAGGCTGCCCCTTGTACCACAAACAGCTTCGACTCGTCTTCACAGCAGGGCGGAAAAGATTTGAACCGTTCTTGCACGCCACCCAATGGCGAGCCGGGTGCGCTGAGATAACCCTAGGTTTACTTTCCTTCACAGTTCCAAGTTTCCTGGTTGTTCTGATAGTTAGATAATTGTTCTAGTGTGCCTTTCCGCGACGAAGTGCCCCCACAACAACCGTCCAACTTCACTCCCCACAGCTCCCCCTTCACAAACGCACGCGCAGTACCACCGACAGCTCAGGTCACAACAAGCAGGACAACGGCGAGCCAGCCGTCGCATTGCCACAAGTTCCCGCAGCAGGCGGGACTACAGGGCATGGCGGCACGCCCTCAGCACCCCTCCAACCCTGGTCAAGGTACCGGCTCCAAATCTAGGCCCCACAGCCAGAAGCCTTTATACGGGCCCACTCCGGCTTGCGAAAGACCCCGGGTTTACAGCCTGAATTCAACAAGCCTCTCCCCAAGAGAGAGCAGCAGCAGTTCAGATCTTGCAAACGTTTTCATGCTGCTTCGTTGGCTAAAACACCAGAGCTCAGAGTGAAACGCCACCCTTCACAGAACCGGAACAAACCCAACCAGCTTAGGCTTCGATCGCCGGAGCCCACTGCCACACAGCACTCTGACACACAGCAGCCTCCTTCGAAACCGTCGGAGGATGAGTCCACCACTGCCCCCCCACTGGCCGCCCCACCTGCTCTGGGAGCCACTCCTCCCACAACGACACCATCACCACCACCCCACCCGCCTTACAGTCCCACTCCGGCAGTCGGATTACTTGGCAAGATGAGCACGACACCGTGACCAGGACCCACACCCGCACTTAGTGGTTTAAGACGCATTGCCACCGTGGCCACCCCAAGACCACGGTCGGCAACGGCATTCCACACAGCTTCGCCCTAAAGTTTGCCTTAGAGGAGGTTTCTGGAATATTACCGGCCTTCTGGCGGCTGGCAAGCTTACCAGTCTGACTCAGATCATGTAGCGCTTTGCATAGGGCCGCCACGAAAATCAAGAATCTCGTTCACCACACCTACATTTCACGAAGACAGGAACCGATGTTGGCGCTTCACGTGGTGCCAATGTCCCGGTGATCGCGGGTGTATAGCAGCACACAGTGGAGGCGGGTGGCGAGTGCACAACTATTTCGCAGCTCAAGGGCCCGGTTGCGGTTGCAAACACAAGTTGCTTGTGATGCACACTCCCGGCCGTGCACTCAGGATGTCACAGAAGAAAACCCAAACTTTCCGGGCAACTGGGCTAACTGATGCTTTCACATCCACCAGGGAGAACGTCCGCTTTCAAGCGCTCCCCCGGTGCTGCGTACAGTCCACCGACCACTCCCCGTAACAGTCCGCGATTCCCTGGCCCCTTTTCGTCATATACTGGCCCGGAGCCGAGTGGACAGTAGTGTTCCGATCACTGTTACGCATGACAGCGACGTCAATTTGCGACAAAGGCCTGCCGAGCCACTTCGCCTGTTGAACAAAGCATGCAAGGCTCGGGCGTCAGTGACGAGGATGCTCGAGTCGCCATCCCGCTGTCCCACCAAAAAAACAACCAGTGCCATCAGGTGTCGACGCATTGGGCACGCAGACGACGATCTTCTTGTCAAAGACGGCGATAAGGCCACCCTGAGATCGCTCGCCATCACTTGCAACTGAGGCATCTGAACATGCCAACCAAAATGATCTTCCAGGCAGATCGACGAGATGCGCAATGCCAGGCCCTTTGTTGCTTGCAAGTCTTTGACGCCTTTTGTTCGCTTGTTTGAAGTTGGAGATGCGGGGTCCTTCCACTGCCCCACGACACACATGGCCGCTGTCCGGCTTGACCCACAACCAGGATCCGCCGATGCCTCGCAAGAGGCCGATCTCCTTCGCGTTCAGCAGAACCGCTCGTCACGAACCCTTTCACGAGGTAGCTTGGAATCTCTCTTCAATGTATCGGCGCATCTCAACCAGCACCTCGAAGTTCTGCATTTAACGAACATCCCGGCTAAAATATGTTCCAAAGACTTGGTAGATATCGAGCAACTTTTCTGTCACTCGCACTCGAACAAATCAGGCGAGGTCTCTGAAGCACCAGCACTGTACTGTTGACATCTCTTGCGCAATGGCAAGTGGTACGCATTATCCTCCAAACTTCTTCACCCTTATATCGCATGATGTTCACGCGCCAGCTCATCCAGCACATCAAAAATGGCAACTAACGTAGCTTCCTGTGCAGTCCCCCACAGCGTAGCAACCACCGGTCTATATCGCGCAACTTAGTTGAACCTCACATGGAGTTCTTCCATTATCATCTAGCGACCTCTTGATGGGTCTCAGACATCGCTCATCAGCATCACCATCATCTTCAGATGAACTTCACAAGCTCTAGTAAGGCCCAGTGAAGCCTCTGCGACTGTTCCTTGCATCAAACCAACCATAACCAACCTCTTCATGCCAATGCAGATGACCCGTCTCGTCTCATGATCATTGTCCACAGTGATCCGCTGCGCCACATCACTCGAGAGTGGTCCGAGCGGCTGAACCTGCGGGGTCCCTGCGTCGAAGTGTCTCCATGTGCATGGTGTGTGGCGCACGGTTCTATTGGCACAACTGCTGCTGGTTGGCGTTGCATGACCAGGAAGTGGTGGTCGACACGTCCTTCATTGGCCTCCAAAGCGCTGCCAGCGCCAACAAATGTAAGTTAAGTAAGAGCCACACGCGAGACGCCCTTGACCACCCGACCACCAGAGCCAGTGCCGATGTTGCAAGGATATATGGATGCAGACGATCTGCGCGCAGGTCGCGGAGCGGCTCACCATCGTGATGATCGTCAGTCTCTTGGCGATCTGCAGTAGCCGCTGAGTTGAGAGTCTCAGACCAGCGGCCGAGCGGTTGTCCCTAAGCCGTCGTTCAGAGAGCCGGCATGGCATCCGCAGCAACACACCCGACGCCAACCGCCTTCAGCCCCATCGCGGGGATGGGTGTTCCGACTTCTCGAGACTCGGTGCACCAAGCAGGTACAGAATCTGTGCCGGTTCGTCTGTTCTCGGGTACGACAACATGAAGTAGATTTTGGCGCCGGGGAGTCCAGACATTGTTTGGGTCTCCAGCCTATCCGATGTCTCGGTGTCCTGTGTGTCTCTGTCCCGGTATCTGGTTGTCCCGGTATTGCGGCGTCTTCGTAAAACCTCGGTGTCCACGCGTGCGGATGCCCCAGTGCTTTGGTTCCGGTGCACCGGCACCCCGAGACGCACGACCTGTCTGAGTGCTGGTGTAAGAAAGAGTCATCGTGTCCTCATGCCCCCGAGATGCAACTTGTCAGCATCCTGGTGGTGTGAGACCGGTCGGTTAAGTCGATGTTCGAGCACTCATGGACCAGCAAACCGGGTTCCTGATTTCTCTAGTTGTCGGCAGTGTCGAGGTTCTTTCTGTCAGCCCGGCTACAGTATCCTCAGCTGGACTGAGGCTCAGACCGTTCTGAAAGTGACCTGCCCAAGTGGACCGAAAGCCAGTTGGATGCAATCTCCAACCAATTTCTCAGAAGCGGGCCGTACGGATATGCATGGAGCCATTCTATTAGGCTCCTGGACTGTCGCACGAACAAAACAAACTGGCACGACCATGAACCCGCACATTATGATGCATACCCCAGGGCGGCAAGCTGACAATTAGGTATACTACACCACACACTCTATAGATTATGACAGCCAAGGAAGTAGAAGTGCAAACAAGGCTCAGGACCCACAGCAATGCTTGGTCGCTTGCCCGGACCTGGCGCAATAACTCAATGACGGTTCATATCTCCAGAATCCTGGGGGCAGCCATCTCAGCCCTCCGCATGTTGGCTCCGACGAACAAATTCAAGACACAGGGGAGGAGAAGAGAGAGAGATAGAGAGAGAGATACCATTATCGATGAAGCCCGCGAGACAGCGGAATGGAGACTAGTAGGGAGGGAGAGACGCAAACGACAGCGAAACGGTGAGAGAGAGAGAGAGAGAGAGCAAACAGGAATACAAACCAAACAGGTAGTAACCCTTAGAACGAAAACAACTCATCTCGAGGATCGAGGAGATCCCCGAAAAGCTTGGTCTTGGGATGTTCTGGAGTCCCTAGCATTCATATCACGACTCTAAAACTCTGAGTTTCTGAGAATTCGCGAAGACATCACTCCGCCTCCGCCGGATTCGATGACATGATTCCTCCTATACAGGAACACATCCCACAGGAGGGGGGGCATCCTGGACCATAGACCATGGAGTGGGGGGAGTGGGGGGCCGCGGAGCGCGTGACCATATATACCTCTACATACGTACATATATATACACATATGTATATGCATGGTCACGCACTCCGCCCCCCTCTTGAGTAGTTGAGTGGTTGTGGGGTTTCGACTCTCACTCTCGCACAAGACAGGCAAGGCTCCACACATGTCCATCACGCTAGTGAGGCCCCAGGACGAAATCAAACAAGTAAACGCATGATGTGGCAGAGATACGTTTTTGGGCTTCGACGCTCGCACTCGCACAAGGCAGGCAAGGCTCCACATATTTTTGGGGTTTCGGCGCTCACACTCGGTCCGAGTTTTGGGGTTTAGGGTTTAGTTTAAGGTTGCGAGTTTCGGGTTTAGGGTTGAAAGGTATAAGGCTTCGCGTCTACAAGGGCTTAGGGAGGATTTGGGGTGTAGGTTCTTTAGGACTGACGGTTTATGTTATAGGTTTTTGGCCTGCGGCTTGCTCATTGCTTACGTATGATCCTGGCCCTCTCTGTAACCCGTGGCCGGCCCCCAGCACCACCGCACCCTCCAGCTGCAGCTTGAATGGCCCCGACCCTCTCTGCGGCTTTCGGAGCAGCATCTAAGATCGACTGTCATTTCCGAAGTATGAGTTATATGTCAGTATCTATAAGGGTTGTACAGGGATGAGGGTCTTTATGAGTGTGCACAAGGAATCACAAGGAGTCACAGAAAATGTTGCTCGAATCCCAGGTCGTTACAAGGAAGTTGATGCACCGGCAACTCCGTTTCGAAGTTGCCACGAGACATGCGCCTGCAAGTCACGTCCCCAACTTATTAGCATTCATTTTGGGTTTAGGGTTTAGCGGCTGACTTTCTATCCGAAGCTGTAAACCCTGACGGCTCGCCCCCGTGGCTCCAACTACCAACATCGCCCGTTTGCGTTTAGGGTTCAATGGTCGATGTTCCTAGGCATACCTTGAAACACCGTTTACGGTTTTATTTGTTTCTTGGGTGAAAACAACATTTTCATGTTGAAAGTTTGTTTCTGGGTCTGTTTCGCCCAAGACCTAACCAGTATGACCTCAAACGAACAACAAGTGAAGCTGCGGACATGACGGTTTTAACCCCCCCCCCCCCCACCCCTTCCACCCAAACCTTCGAAGTGCAAAAACTCTGCGTGCATCGGTAAATCCGAATCCCGAAATCAGAAAGCCTTGTAAAACCGAAGCGAAAGGCTCTTAAAACCTAGTGCAAACTCCCCGTGCAAAGGGCTTCGCAAAGTAAAAACTGGGGGCCAACCAACGATATGGCCTGGTAGGGGTTACAAAAAAACATACACACACAACACGCAAACAAACAAAAGGACATCATAAAATGCCACGCCTACCATGGCTCTAGAATATACCACTGTCGATGCCACTCAAGAAGCAGCTTGACTCATGATTTGTTGTCTTGCGTTCGCGCCTGAGACAAGCCGTCTGCATGCCTGCTGCAACCGCTTGCAATCAAACAACAATCACAATTTCCTCGGGTTTTGGACACTTCCTGACAACTCATGTACTCAAAGACCTCCGCGACCCGGATTTTACAAGGCGAAATGCTCCTGCATATTTCCTTTTTGCCTCTGTCTCGATTCCTTCTTGTTCTAGCAACGTACAAAACGCAAATTCCTCGAGTTTTTGACACTTCCTGACAACGCTCCGTCCATGAGCAGACCGAACAAAACACAATGTGTTGGCATCTTCGTGGCTTCAAAATACTCTTGCTAGCACGTGCAAAACAGCCATTGTTCGAGTGTTAGCGCGCTTTAAAGCAAAAATGCGTCATTTCCGCATGCAGAAAGATCAAGAAACACGTTGTGTTTGTAGTGGTTTTAGCAGCACAAAACGCTTGCCCGTTCTGCCGCGCGCACGCGTGAACAGGGCGTCGGAGCATTATATTATCCCTAATCTGTACTTTGTAATCCCTACACCCAACCCTAAACCCCGCCTAAGTGCAGGCTCCAAGCCTAAAGCAAAGCGAACCTACACCCCAAACACACCCAAGCCCTTGTCGACTCGAAGCCCTATACATTATTTTAACCCTAAACCCAATTCTCAAAAGCTAAAACCCCCCGCAACTACCCCAAGGGGGAAGAGGGCCCCACCCCACAGGAAGGGGGGCATCCTGCACCATAGTCCGGGCGGGGAAGGGGTACAGTAGGGGCGGAGCACGTGACCATAAATGTGCCTGCATGCATGCTCTCTTCTCCCGCGTTTAAAGGGTGAGTTCAGCCCCTCAGGCATCAAGCCCGCCCGCCTTCTTCGAAGTTTTTGGGGGAGTGAGGGTGCATGATGGCGTCTTGAGTAAATATGATATTGACATGGGCTTCTGGTCGTATGCTCTTGCTTGCTTGCTTGCTTGCTGGGGGTTTGGGGACCATGGGGACCATGGGGCCCCACCTTCTCTCTCTTTCTCTCGCCAGGGTTGTGCGCTCTCTCTTTTTCTGCAGGGCATGGGGGGCGTGTCAACCCCATTTGTTGTGGGGCGCTTGGAAGGGTGTGAAAACTTGATTGAGTCTCCCTGACAGTTCGAGCGAAAGTATATTGGCCTATGAAAGTGTCAGGGTTCCTAATCGTTTTCCGACACATGCAGGTTCAAGGCAGTGCATACGTTCTTAGGGAGAGCTCGAACAAGATGGCTTAAACGATGTAGAAGACTATCCTCTCCTGAAAGATGCACAGTGGACGAACAGTTCTGTGGGGGTCCCAGCTTCGTAATATATGGCAACTTAAACTGCAAAAACTCATCTGTTCCCCACATCTGTCGTCAACTACAGTACTGCAAGTCGACCGCTCCACGGTCGTTTGGAACTGTGCTCTCTCTCTTTCTCTCTCTCTTTGCTTTGCTCGGGGCTTGGGGCGGGAGCAGTCCTCCTTTCCCCAGGCTTGAGGGCATGCCCCCGCAGGAGGGGAGCAGCCCGTCCTTTGAAGGGATGCACGGTTTTACGCGCGAAATGTGTCTAGCACTCCACGGGCTGAGCTTTCGATTATTGCAAAACACCTCCTACAAACATCCCTCCCTCTTCTTCTGCAGGGCTTAAGGGGCTTGTCAGGCCCCCTCTCTCGCTCGCTCTCTCTCTCTCTCTCTCTCTCTTCCCCCGTGCGCGCACGCACACCCGCGTTTCACGGGTGGTCCTTGGTTCCTCTTCTGGGATGTTCCCCGAAGAGGCTCAGCTTTACAGTACGGGCGAAGTCCCCCCACTGTTTGTAAACACGGCAAGGCATTAGAAGTTATTGTTGCGCTGGGGTTCAGTCTCTCTCTCTCTCTCTCTCTTCTGGGCTTGCGGGTTACGGCAGCGTCCGGGCCGCTCATTCCGTGCGCGAGCGCACACCCGCTATTCGTGGGATATCCGTGCTGTTTCCCCCTGGGATTTTACCCCAAGCGAGCTTGGCTGTACTGTAACGAAGGGTTCACCGCTCGAGTCGAAAGAAGAGCATCCTCTATGTTTTTTCACTGAAGTGGTTCCCCCTACAAGGGCCTGTCCCCCAAGGCTGTTGGTCCGAACTGCACACAAGCCAACACAACAACACAGGTGCAATACGCAGAGACGGCTGAGGTTAGTCTCCCTCTCTTCTTCTTCAACTCGGCCAGGAGGGTCGGGCACGAACACCCTCCCCCCCGCGCGATTTCGCGCACCGGGGTTTTCGGGCGGTGAGAAAAGATAAAAACTCCAAGGGGATACACACCGGCAGACCTGCACAAACCCCCCTGTACACTAACCCCCAACCCGCCTCGTAGTCTAAGGCTAAAACACCCCGCAGGCCGGTCCCCGTGCTTCCCTGAGTGCTGGGGCTCGGGCCACTTACAGGACCCCCCTAGGCAGGCGCCGTTGTCGGCCCACCTGTTTTGCCCCCCTTCCAGGACAAGAGAGACTGTACCGTACTGTACACTGGGGCCCCGGCGGAGAGCTTGCAAACAAACCACAACAAGTGCAGCACCCCCTAATCACTATCATCAGTCCACTCTCTGTCTGCTCTCCGTCGGTTCCCCTCCGGACTGTGAAGTCGCCGACGGCTGGCTCTTCCGTAAGCGGCCAGCTCGGCTTCTACCTGTTCTTGGAGCTCGTGCCCATCTGCTATGTCCTGGGCCGAAGGCTCCTCACTGGGAGGTTCCGGCTCACTCCCTCTCTCTCTCTCTCTTTCTTTCTCCAGGGCTATCTTTCCCTCTCTCTCTTTCGCCAGGGCTATGGTGTAGGGGTTTAACCCCCTACACCGCGCGCTCATGCGCCCCCGACTGTTGCGGAGGAGATTTAATGGCAGTCCTCTAACCACGGCTCTCGAACGTCCTTAAAAGGACCCAGCTCTGCCCTCAGCAACTGCACTCCGAAAAGCCAACACGGGAAATCGGCTAATAAGACTAGCGTGAACAGATACATTACGCCGAGTTGCTGGGTCGAGGTTATTCCCCGTTGCAAGTGGTTAGTGGTTAGATCAGGAAAGTGAAGACGGGGCTTCAGGTCAAGTTTCGCCTACAAATAGGTCTGAAACACACGGTAGCTGACTTGACCTTTTGCAGAGGACCACAAGGTGTGCGGCTTCACTACTTAGGCCTGGTATTAGATATGTCAGCAAAACAGGAAATCTAAGTACCTAGGAAAAACAGTGCAGGATCACAGTACACCAGGCATTGCGAGTTCTGAACAAAGACTACCAGGACCCAAAGCTGTTCCACTCCTAGAGTCCTAGAGCGAACAGAGTTCCTGCTACCTAGGCCTGGCCTCACATGGTCAGCAACACGGAAACAAACTCTTTTGCTTGCTTGCTTGCTTGCGCAGGAGTTTAGGGTCCCAATGGACCCGTGGCCCGAAGGCCTACCCCCCAAGGTTCGCGGCGGTCAGTCTTCTCGGCCCCAATCCGGGGGTGGAAAGAAGTGTTCCTCCGAGTGTCAGTGTTGGCAACCCCCCGAAAACACCCCTCCTAAACCATGACCCTGTAATCCCCTGACACTTGCCACTGGGGTCATCCACTCTTTCGGACAAGGTAGGGTTGGCTTCGAGCTCGGCCAGCCAGCATTAGGAAAACAACTCACATACGATCAAAGCTTGGCAGCTCGAAACGCCACCCTATGTTTCCACTCGGAGCTCCACTCCTTGTGGACATGGTGATACTTCCTGCTCCCTACTCTGCACCCCCGCCTTACCTGCCTCCCTACCTCACACCGAACAGAACCTTGCACGACTGCACTGCCTGTACCTGCCCACCCCCTCCCCGAAGCCTGATCTCCCGCAGGGCGAGCCGCAAACAATGACAATACAGCAACGAACAGCACCTTGCAAATTAGCAGCAGAACGGTTTAGTTTGGCTTTCCTGCAGTTAGCTTCAGCCCCTTGCTCCCCCACTGTCCCCCCAAACAAGCAAAACGGCCCTGACCACTGCAACCAAACTACCCCTTAAAACACTAGCTGTCAGTCATCATGGTCTGGGGAGCTTGGGTTTGTGAATGTATGGGGCTTCACTCACCGGATCCCCTTCCAAAACCCCTCTCTCTCTCTCTCTCTCTCTCTCTCTCTCTCTCTCCCTCTCCCTCTGAAAACGAAGTTAATGGTTGTCTGCACAGGACGACCCTGCATGGATCTGCAGAGGGGATCAGCAACTTAATTGCCCGATGGCAGTGCCGCTGTTGGCTGAGCCTTCGGATCCCTCACTGTTGCAGAGGCAGGTCAGCGACATGCTCTTCGATGCGCTTATGCTTGTGCGCCAGATCTTCGTCAACATCTTGTAAATGCAAAAACATTCCTGAGGACAAACCTTAAAGCCTTAAACAGTCAGATCCATTTCGAAAGGTGGAACGCCGGTGGAGCGCAATTGGGTCCGAAACAGTCAAAGCTGTCAGCGTCGCGAAAAGAACTCCAGCGTCAAGGCAGGTGCCATCGAAATGGTCGGTAACCTTCGCCCCAAAAACAGCACAGGGTTCTTCAGTGCTGAGGTGCTAGGGCCAGGGGCGCGGCTGCCACGTCCACTGGTGATGTGCTGTAGACGGTTTCCAGAAGTCGCGCCGTGGGATCCTTGAGCGCAATCAGATGCAGCCCACGGCACACGGCCTGGCCACTTTTTCATCGCTCCTTGAAGAGAAAGACATCCAAATCCAGGGAGATCACGTCCAAGCCTTGGATGTTGGGCGCCATTGGGCTCGACTCGCACTTCGCCCGAACAAATATAATGAGGCAGGCTCCAAGGGACAAGAACACCGGCAAAAGGTAAAATTTTGCCTTGCGAAGGGCTTACAGAACCGATCGGACCTATCGGGTTTTCGGATCTGTCAGCAATGATGCCTTGAGCGTGCCTTGTCGTGAACATCAAGTGGTCTGGCAGATGTACTTGAGATGTGCAAACCTGAGAATTGGGATTTTCTTCACCCAGCTGGAATCAATTCTCAGTTGCAGGCTAAGCCGCGAACACAGCAACTCGGACAATCTGTGGCGTGTCTGTCGCACATCTTCGCACAACAGCATCCATCTCAGTACAGCATCGAGCGGCTGGCTAACATTAAATTAAGAGACACGGTGCCTTGCAAGTGCTGGATTCCAGGAAATATTTATTTCGTGAGGTTGAGTGTGAGCCAAAAGTGTGAGCATGGATTTCCAGCCCAATGGGAAGTGTGAGGTTGAGTGTGAGCGAAAGATAACGAAAGTGCGAGCATGAATGGGCTCGCTCACACGCCCGCTCGCACTCCCTGTGACACTCCCACTCACACTTTCACACAGTGTGTGAGCAGAAGTGTGAGCTGGAGCGTGAGCGGAAGTGTGCGCATGAATGGGCCACTCACACGCCCGCTCACACTCGGAATCCCCGCTTACACTCAACCTCACACTTCCGCTCACACGCTCACTCACACTCCACCTCACACTTCCGCTCACACAACTAATTCTTTCAGACCATCGCAATGGTTGCAGGGACTGTGTCTGATAAGGCTACCGCAGGGACTGTGTCTGATAAGGCTACCATCACCTAGCAGACTTAGCAACCACGACCGTGCGGCTCTTTTCTGCTGAGGCCAGCGGCTGGGCAGCAGTCGTGGCGAACACAACCCGCGGAAGCCTGACCAGGCTTGACTTGATAACACGAAACCTTTCAAAGGATTGCAAGATATTGCAAGCGTGGCCTCAAGTCCAAGGCTCTGTTCAAGAAGTGCCAAACCCAGCGCTCATCCATGGACCCATACGCGATGGCAAAGTACACGGGCACTGCTGAAGCACCATACCTGCACAATGCAGAGGTCGGCAAGTTTACATTGCCACATGAGATGCAACTCCCCAGCATGTTCTTTGATGTCGCGGGCGTGGTGCAAAGCCCAAAGTTGTCGTTCGAGTGCGGTTGCAGGAGATCGCGGCAGGTGTTTGAGGCAGGCGGTGTTCCTAAGGCCTCTGGTTGTTCCAACCTCAAGGAGCTCCTGCTGGTGCTTGAAGAACGACTTCCCCAAATGGATGCGTGGCAATACTTGGCATACGGGCTATCCAGCGGCGCATTTCGGTTGTGGGTGCCGTGTGGCAAGCGGTATGCAACGATAACTAAGCCCAATCTCGGCAATCTGCGAGATGCGTTCACTCCGCTCGCAATGTGGTCGTTGGTCCTGATGTGAACTCACTTAGACTGCATTCGTGCTCCCGATGCTACTCTTGCCACAAAAACACGTATTCGCTTCGGTCTGAATGTTGGATTGCGGTTTAACTTTCGTCAGCGTGCTAGTTGAACTGCCGAGAACTCAATCGCTGGACAAATTCAGAGCCTGCACACTTTATTTACCGCAAGGGTCCTAAGGCCGCGACTTTGGTGTACTGTGCAAGGAACCTGCCAGAAGTGAGAAGCAGGCCGGCCGCGTCCGGAAAATTGCGGAAACATGTTTGTGGCGGTTTGCATGTGCATAGCAGGCTCATGTAAGCACGATTAAAAGGAAGACTACGAAGCGTAGAACCGTAGACCCCAACCATGAAGTCCAAAATGCCCACCAAACAGCAGCAAGCAGCACACTGTGTGGGGAAGACGACACGCTCTGGAGCACGATGTTTGGAGGTGGCAGCACGAGTCGCAGTCAAACGTTCTCGGCACAGTGCCGGGAGCACGACTTCGAATTTCGTCAAGCTGCCAAAACCCACTCACTGTCTCCAAGATGCAGTGCAAACTAAACGCGCAGTTCGAGACAGTGCATGTGCCTCCTTGAAGAGACTCATGCTTGTTGCAACTGTCGACCAACCCGTGGTGTTCACTGTCTGGCGTCTCCATACCATACAAAACAAAACTGCATCAATTAAACGTACGTACTGGACCTGCCGATGTCAACCGAATTGTCATTGCACGTAAGGCGACGATGGCGGAACGAGCGCTCCTTTCCATCATCCAATTTGCCGTTTGTTAACACTGCTTGCGATAACACTTCTGAATTCATGAACTTGGATCTCGTTTGCTCACGTCCAGCAACATCAGAAAGTACAATCACAATGATTCGTGAACGTAAAGATGCGGGTCGGTGTTACATCCCTTGAATGTAAGGTTATGCATGCACTAAGCGAGCTGATCTCGCCACAATGATGGTGTGCATACCGTATACTGCTTTCCTAGTCCCAGCAAAAGCATATTCTCCCATTATGGCATGTACAAATGCCACCAGTATCGCTCTCCAGGTATGTGCCGACGACATTGCAAGCAAGTCCCCGCGACGAAGATAAATGCAATTGTACATTGGTGCAGTGTCTTGCGAGCATCCACGAAAAACAAAGCGGCACGTCAATGTGGCATCATTCTTACCCGCGCCCATCGACCATCAACAGCAGAGCTAACTTGCTCCTGTGTGCAATCCTTCGGCAAACGCTTGTCTGCTACCAAAGACTCATGGGTTGGATTTCTGTCATCTTTCCTGTCGTTTTGCCCCGGGAAGGAACTCACTCTGTGTCAATTGTGGCTCTGCGAATCCTTGCCCCCTGTTCCATGTCTCCAGCTTCGGCATTCACCCTCAACACAGCATCCTCAATCAATTCCGCTCAATGCACGACTCCACGACACAACCGATGACAGTCTTGCTTGTTCGGTGCTCAGTTCACTCGCCGGTGCATCTGGATCAATCCCAGCAACTTCGCCAGATCACTCATTAGTATGGTCACTGGAATGTTTCACGTGTGACCTTGCGGTCTCAGGTGCTGCGGGACCATTTCATTCTCATCCGCTGCGTTAAAAGAAAGATTATGAAACTTATCCCCATTTTTTTTGGCTCCCGCATGGCCCATTCGAAACATGTATCTCTAACTTTGCGAATCACACCGAGTTCATGGTTTTTGCGCCGTTTTATGTTTGTTGCCAGCCCAAACGACTTGGTCCCACGCTACGGTTTTGATCCAGTTTGGACCACCTGATATCTGGTATTAGGGGGACCTGTTAGGACGAGGCAGCACTGAGCTATTGTCGACACAGACAGGGAATGATGGGAGCTGCAGCACATACCCAGGTCCTCCCTGCACTGGGTTATAGTGGCAGCCTTCCACGCCTGTCGTTGGACTGGAAAGGAGCCAGCCTTTGCAGTATCGGCTGCCCAGCATGCACAGAAACACTGATCATTTCTTGGACCCGCGCGGCAAACCTGTCTCCACAACCTTACACAAGAAGCTACAAGCAAGATTCAAGAAGATGTTGCCTCGGTATGCTTTGGTGGTTCAGTGCTCGCTTCACTGGATTCACGCCCCTGGGGACTGTTGCGGCGGAAGATCTGCACCAGCCACAGCCTCCAAGGAGGTGACGGAACCCTAGAGTTGCCGGCGCCAACATGCCAACTCATGCCTCCCAAAAACGAAGACGGTTTTCGGGCTCGCCCTGCCGGCGGTTTGGTGAACTGCTTCTGAATCTACACATGTTGACACAGCCTCATGAAAACTCTGCAGCAATCCGCAGCCGGACTTACAGTGCTGAAGCGACTCCTGGACCTCATGTGGACAATCTGTACTCCCATGTCGGCACCGGGGAGCGACCGTGGCTGAGGGTCTTTCTTGCTCCGATGCCTTTCCCAGCACTCGGCGAACCTGATGCAAGCCGCCCCTTATCTTAAAGTTTTGGCATGCTTTGCAGAAGGAGCACAGCAGTGCGTCCTCTGACTGCAGTTTGGCGATCGCCACATGCCGGGTCATGCCAAACCGAAGCCTCGTCAAGCTTGACGTCCAGAAAAAGGTCATGCCTTGCCGAGTCGCCATCGCATTTGGGGGATCCTCTGATGTCTAAAGCGCCTGAGGTGCGCACGAGCGCCACGCGACGTAGTGCGATGCAGCGATTGCAGCAGAAAACACCTTGAGCACACAAGGACCATCAAACAAACAATGGGTGAAGGGCTTTCGGTAAGACTCTGGCAGCCGAGGTCTCCGATATGGTAGCAAAAGGCATGTGTGCGACCAACTTGGCAAGCCTTGCGGAAGCGCTTTGCACCGTTTGGCTTTTCGGCTTTATTCAATCCGCTCTCGAGGGTCGCGCTCAGTCAGCCGAGGCCCTGCAACGGTTGCAACGTGACATTGAGTGGCAATGGGATTGAAACTTTGAGAGTCTTGGCCACGAACGGTCAAGTGGGTCACGGGGCACTGGCGTGCCAAGCAATCGGATCCTTGGTGCTGGCATGTTGATTGCTCTGGTATACACTGATTGTGCTTGTTCTCTAACTTCTGCCGCCGCCGTGTGTCGGCCACGACAAAACTCAGGCTTGCGCATAAGAAGGGCGGCACCCTCTGCAGCACACGCTGCCGCACAGGCCGTCCAGAAATCTGGGTCTGCTCGAGGTGCACCTTCGTATCTGTGAGTTTCGCAAGTGGCACCAGTAGTGCGAGGTGGTGCCATTCAAGTCGAGGCTCTGTTCATGAAAGCCGTCAGTGGACCTCTGGCTGAGAAAAACACAATGCAAAGGATGTTGGCACGGCTCGCCGTGATAGGCCCAGACGCAGCGTGCTGGAGACAAAGAGCCCGAGCCTCGGGGGGGCAGCTTCAAAAGTGCACGCACTCGTCAAGCGCAGAAACGCTCGCGGGCTTCCTGCAGGACTTCAGCTGCCCCAGCCTTTTCCTTTGGCCGCCAGAGGAGCGGCATCAAACTGAGCGCAGGATGAAGCTGAAGCCGAGCACAAGTGCTTTCAGAACGCTGAGAGGCTAGCTGCTCCTGCGTTGCCGCTTCGACCTGCATCAAGAAGCCCAGCACTTCTGGCCTTGCTTAGATCATCTTACTTGCAGGATTCCACAGGATTCTCATCACCCTGGGTGCTGGCTGTGCGCAAAGTGCCAATGCCGTTGAGTTGGGCTCCTTACTGAGCTCCAAAGTGCCAGATGTTGTTCTATATCGTTCGGTGCAAGCATGTCCTTGATTCTGAGGTGCTGGCGCTTGACCCGGCTTGCGTCGGTCCGGACTTGTGATGAACCAATGTGACGTTCTCTTGCCGAAGCTGCGATGGTCGCTGCTGAAGGAACTGGCCCCCACAAGTGGATTGCCACTTCGCCTGATCAGAAGGCTGGGCAACTGGGACCTCTGCAATTTCTAGATTCTAGATCTGTTGGCATCAGGCCAGAAGTGAAGCAACTGGCCATGTTGAAGTGCCGAGAAGATACCTGCAACATGAGACGGCATCTCTTCGCATCTCCACCCTGTGCTCTGCTCTGCTGCTCCGCTGTGTGCGGCGTACAAGGGCAGAGAGCGGCCAAGGAAGGCCTTCCTTGCGAGATGCTGGGCTGCATGGCATTGCATGGCTGCACGCCAGCCGGGCTAAGCCAAATGCCATACATCATCAAATGCTGACCTTCTTGTCGAGCAGCTTCTCCGGAAAGGCTGTGCAATTTGCAAACGACACGACCGGGGCACAAACTCATGTCGGCCAGAGCAGCCGGCAGCGCCTCACATAACATTTGCAGCAACAAGGGCTGCTCCAGAATCGTAGCACGCTTAGCGACTTGCAAAGCAGTACAGTATCCAGAGCTTTTCCTCCAGTGCCCCCCCTGTGTCAGGCGTCCTGTACAGACCGCGACTGTACCCGCACTTGATGTCGGGATGCCAGAGACGCAAGCTGTCGCAACAAAAACTGTCGGAGGTGATCTGCCGTCCGCCACTTGCGCATCAGCTTTGGGCATGCTTGCAAGTCACTGAGAATGAAGAATGTATGTCTTGGCGATTGAGGAGTCAACTCCCGACGAAAGCAAGCGCGAAGAGGATGCAGAAGAAGTTGCTGGAAAACGGCAGCCAAGGTCGATCTACTAATTATACCAATGCATCTTCTGTGGATCACTGCCATGGGCACGAGCCGAAGGTCGTCTGGAAACGAACATCTGGTTCAATATGCAAGTGACGATGCTAGCAAAAACCGCAGGAATATGCAACAAATTCCAAAAGCAGGGCTGTGCGTACTTGCAGCGAGAGTTGATGAACAAGTCCCTATATATGGTCACGCGCTGCGCGGCCCCCCCCTCCCCCCCCCCCCTGGTCTATGGTCCAGGATGCCCCCCCTCCTGTGGGATGGAGTGTGGGTTCCGTCTTCCCCTCTGGAATGGTTGTGGGGGTTTTGGGGTTTTGGGTCAAGCTTAATTAAGCTTTTGAGTTTAGGGTTTAAGGTTTTTAAAAGGGATAAGGCTTCGAGTCGACAAGGGCTTAAGGGAGGGTTTGGGGATGTTTGGGGTGTAGGTTCGGTATAGGGTTGACAGTTTACGTTCTGGTTTAGGCGTAGAGCCTGCAGTGAGGCGGGGTTTAGGGTTGGTTGTAGGGTTTGAAGTTTAGGTTAAGGTTGCTAAAAGCAGGAGCAGGCGCTACTGCGCTACGTTATAGGATTTACGGCCTGCGTGGGGCTTGCGTACGATGCTGGCCTGGTCTGTGACGCCCTCCAGCTGCAGCTCCAACGGCCCCCACCCCTCGCACACGCCAGCCGCCCCCCCCCACCCCGTACCAGACCATACCATTGGGGGGGGGGGGGGGGGGGGCTGGGAACGCCAGACGCCTGACCAAATATACGATTATGTTTGCGAGCCCCCTCTAAACCAGCAGGCATGGATTGCAAAATTTGACTAGAATAGCATAAAGATCCAGACTAGATGGGAAACATGTGAAGACAATGCAAAAAAAAACAGCAGAGCTACCAGTAGATGAGTACCAAAAAATAGGTCAATTTCGTGCGAAAACTTGAAACAAGTGTGAAAGGAGCTCAATAAATTCGGCCAAGCATGAACCTGCTTGAACGAACGCGCTCCTGTTTCACGCTTGTCTCTGCTTGCTTCACGGTTTGTGCAAGTTTGCTTACACTATAGACTAAAGCCTTTCACCCTTGTGTGCACACCGTGCGCGGGCGGATAAATAATTCGTAAGGGGGGCACATATTGCTGTACCGTAGCTCATGTGCTTGTAACACGAGCTGTTTTCATCTGTTTTCACTGGGCGGTTCGGTCACGTTTGCCTTTCGACTTCCAGCCATGCGCAAGCCTCATGTCCGGCTGCGCATCCACGCCAAGTGATTCGTGAGGGAACATTGGGATCCATCGCAACATTACAAACCCTGCAAGTTTCTACGGCCTCACAGCTACTTTCTTTCCTGGAAGCCCACGGCACTTTACGAAACAAGCACGCATTTCAGCAAGTGCTGAAGCTGGTCCCTGTCAGAGTTCCGAAGACTTGGTGCCGCGCACAAGAGAACCTCCGCATGCAAATTTACTGCCATATACATCATAAAAGCTTGCTGACAACTTCGACGGACAAGCGACAAGCTTCGCACCAGAAGCACCGCAGAAAGAGCGCCCAATGCGCACTCGGAAGAAGCATCCGATATCCCTGCGCTGAAGTGATGCAAGGATGGCGGTCTCAGGTGCACTGATCCTCACATACCCTACTTGTAATATGCGTAGACTGACTGGCTGACGTCTGAGGACAACATGCTCGAAGCCCGGCGTTTGGCACGACCTCTTTGGCATTCTAGGGCACGATGCATTTGTGCACACTACCAGTGGTGCTCAACCGACCAGATTGGGAAGCCATTGCGAAGAACGCAGCTTTTTTTCCCAGTGTGTGTGTGCACTACACGTCAGAGGTGCCTGAGGCCGCCAGCGACGGTGGCAAGACGTTTCAATACGGCATGGTCCAGCAATCTGCCAGCAATGGATGTGTTTCTCAAGCTGGCCGCACATACTGTGACTTGTTCAGCTTGGCATTGAAGTAATATGGTTTCCCGTTCGTTTTTGAAAAACACCTTAGCTCTGGTCAACCTGCTCGCTTGACTTTGCCGGCGTGCTATCCACATGCATGACGGATTAACATGCCGAAGCACCTCTGCCAGCCAGGTGGTAAGATTTCATCCGTGCTCTCGCCGCATTGCCTTATCATGCGGGCAAACTGTGTTTTGCACCATGATCACCATGGCAATGCCAGTTCGATGGATGCTTGGGCCGCACCCTTCCGGTGACCTGTCCTAGCTTAACAAGCTTGCTGGAGAAGATCTCTAGCAGATCTAGCACGGCCACAGTCCTCCAAGCTTCAACGGTACTGTCGCGCCTGGAGATCCCCAAAGCCTGAGGGCCTATGCTCTATGCAGGGTAGGTGTTTTGAGTCGGGGGATCGGTCTCTCTGAAGAGGCTGCTTCTGAACAGTTTCGTCACCACGATGCACTCGTTGTGTTGGCTCGACCTTTACAGATTGTCAGCGTATGGCTCGGCCCGAACTGGTGACCTGACACTGTTCTCGCGAACCTAGGATCTTCGCGGGGCCTGGCCAACAGAGAAGTGCAAAAGTTGAGATTGCATCAGCGACACGGTTTTTTGAAAGAGTCTTCAAAACCAATTCCGGTGACGTTTTGCTGACCTCTGTTCTTGAGACTGGTGGCGATGCGATGGCAGCGGGAGTCTGTGGGGGAGCTCGTGCTGGAGCTACAGTCGGTGTCTGTGGAGGTGGAGGTTCTTGGTACCCAGCCGCGCGAGATGGAGGATCCCTCCACACTGTTGGAGTCGCAGGGTCTGGGACCGTGTGCCTTCGGTCCGTGCCAGCCATGACGGCAGGCGTCCGCGGGCCGGGCACACTCTGTGCTGTTACTCTCAGAGGTGCAGGGGTAGCTGGCTCCGGAACGCCTGGAGGAAGCCTTGTGCCGGACAAAGCTGGCGTTGCCGGTGGTGGAATCCGATTCCGACTGTGGCTTAGAGCGGGAGTTTTCGGAGCCTCTGCGCCATGGGGACCGAAAGTGGAAGGCATTGGTCCATCTGCGTCTCCCTGAAAAGCTGGTGTGCTCGGAGCAGCTCCGCCGTGAGGTCCAAAGTTTGCAGGACCAGGAGTGGTGGGCGTCGACTTCGGCAAAGCGGCGGGAGTCATTGGCGGCAATATGCGGGGCATCTCCGTGGAGATCTGCGCCTCAACGGAGACTTCAGGTGACCAATCTGAAGCCACCCACCTTGAGGTCTCTGACGAAGTCCACCTTGAGTTCTGCTCCCAGTTCTTCGAGGTCTGCTCCCAGCTATTCCATTTCTTTGTATCTTTCCAGTTCGTCCAAGGCTTTGATGCCTTCGGCTCTTCCTTCCTGCACCTACGACAGTCACTCAGCCAGTCAGCGTGCGCGTGTGTCTGCGTGTGTGTGTGTGTGTGCCATCCCTCTCTCCAAGGGCGAGGTAACACAACATGTATCAAAACCGAAAAACACAACCAACATCAGATGATAATGCAAGCGCGTGAAGCAGCTTTGGCATACTGCACGCAATGAAGCTATTGCGCAAAAGTGGGAAAGGATCAAGGATGCTTGATGCTGCACCTGCAGTCGGTTCGTGACTTATGACTTATTCGTAGTGCAAGCCGTGCATGTTGCCAATAATGTGAAGACCTCGCTGTGCGAAACATGCTTGACTTCTCAAAGCTAGACCGAAGATATCGTTGACTATACAACCAGCGTCCGAAGTAAGAAGCCGCTAGGAAGCATCAAACCGTTTGAGCCACAACACTGAACCAGAGGTCTGCAACAGGTTTGTGAGCGTTTTTGCTTGCGTGCGTGTGTGTGTGTGTGTGTAACTCCTGTGTCCAAAGATCTAAAGTAGTGCAGATATAGGAAATCACAGTTTCATCAGCAGGGGGCACAGGCCCGTCTTGGATACCTGTGCCAACGAAGCTATTCCAAGATGGGGGAAGGGTGGTCTGATCGACCACCTGTACCTGCAAGTGCGGCCAGCCCAAAATACCCTAAAAAAAGCGGTTGTTTCATCATCGGCCGAAGGATGTGACATAGTGGCTACAGGCAAGAAGCGACAGAAGAGATTAGAACAAACAGCATCCATCTAAGTAAGGATGACTGGTCAGCAAGTGTGCTGACCCGACAGTGATTCTGCCAAAGCGCTGTCGGACACCCGGTCTGCGGGGGAATCCCTTGGAACATCTGGTACCTCATGAATACAACTGTCCAGTCTTGGAATATGAGCCTTGAGATCCAATGGCCCCACGCGAATAAGGCCCCGATTGCCAAGCTTCACACTGGAGTATGAGCCTTGAGTCCAAATGGCCCCACGTGAATAAGGCCCCGATTGCCAAGCTTCACATCGGAGCATGATCCTGGATCAAGCATGCTGGTGCAGGCATACCCAATTGTCGGAAGAAGCCCAATCCTTGGAAGAACCGAATTGTAGTTTCACAATTATAAGATCATTCAACATTCTTGTATCACAGATTTTGCTTTGTGTCCTTTGCCATGGCTAATTATCATTTTCACTTTCAACAACAGAAAGAGGGACATCGAGAAGATGTCCACCCAGCATTGCCGGCAACATCGACACCGGTGCCTTCGCCTGTGCTCTCGCCCTACCAGTATCATGATGCAGCTTTTCAAGCTTCACCTGCCGTTTTGCTTTTTAGACTACAACCAGTGCGACCAACTCAGGCCCCACATTTGGCAGTTATTAGAAGGCTCTCCAGACCTCTTCGTCGTCGAGCCCGCGCAAGATCTCGTCGTACTTCCTCCTGTCGCAGTCGTAGCCGTCGACGAAGAAGAACTCGAAGATCGTGCTCTACTGTTTCTAGATCTCATCGTCGAAGAGCAAGATCCCGTAGCCGTTCAAGAAGATCCACAACTTCTCGAGCTACATGTACTACTAACACGCATGTGTCGCCGGTTTCCAATGTATATGCAGAGCATCCTCAATATCCGGTGCAGACAGTACCTGAAACTTCAGGTGCGCAACCACAAGTCATTCCACCGCCCACCGTTGTCCCTCCACCACCACCTGGCAACTTTAACTACAGTGCTGCTTGTCCTGTAACTTCAGATGCACAGCCACAAGTCGTACCACATGTCCAATGTGGTCCCACCCTCAGCTTCACCGTTTCATTGCAGTACACCACTACCACCACCACCTCCAGCCCACATTTCCACCTCCACCTCCTACCTCTTGTGCGCCTGACAATTCCACGCCACCTCCACCTCCACCCACAATCAACACCTCCATGACGAGACCAGCACATCCTGCAAAGCCGCCACCGCCACGACAGCCCACCAGCATTACACCACCACCTCCACCACCTCCACCACCACCTCTTACAGCTGTACCAGCAGGCACGGCACCAGCGCCTGGCAGCAATGACAAACCTATGACGCCGGAGATGCTGCTGAGTACCATACCAATGTCAGCGTCAGGTCCGATTTCAGCTTGTGATTCCAAGGAAGTTGAAGCAGCATTGGCAGTTCGTCGAGCTCGGTTAACTGAAACCACGCTCAATAGATGCTGAAGACAATGAATTTGCAGATTTTTGGAGGCTACCCGACCTGCAGCTCTTCAAGTACTACAACGGTCGCCTTGCTTTTCTTGCAGAAGAGACCAAACTGTGGTCGCGAGTACCTCGTGATGACTTGCAACGCCCTGCTCCTACAGTTGTGTTTTCTTGGGATGTACAACCTGCTGTACTCATCAGTTTCTGTCAAGCCATGGTTACAGCCATGCTTCCTTATGAGAAGATGTTCACCACACCCGGTAAAGCTTGGTGGCACAACAACATCATCATGTGGCAGATTGATACGGACAAATTCCCGGGCCCTGCCTCGTCTGCATTAGGAACTGGTCAGAGCACATACAGATGGTGGCAAGGATGCAGCGAAGCCTCCTTGTTGGGCATTTTCAAAAGCGGCCGAGTTTTCCGAACCTGCAATGAAACTGTCGGAGTCAAACCTTCTGAAACTGCTTTCGGATTCTTTGGTCGAGCTGCTTACGAGTGTGATGATATGGTTGCAGCTGGTTTGACCAGCAAGCTTGCCTTTCACCCCAAGAACCAGTGCGGTGTCCTTATCAGCGGCACCATCAACTGTGCACATTCGAAGTCTACATCAGCAAATACTTTTTATGAAGTGCAAAGCTTGCGGGACTTTGAGCTGATCAAGTCTCCGTCCAAGGACACGCATTGGGCAATCCGAGAATCCAGCGCTAAGGTCTCCAGATTCTATCTTCTTTCTCCAGCACGGGAATTCACCGATAGCGACGTGCAATGGGGACCGAATTGGCGTGAGCTGCTTTCGCTTGAGCCTGCACGTACCGTTGTTATGGATAAGGACGCTGTAGACCCTGCACAGTAATGCTCTCTGTTGAAATCCCATGCGGCAAAACAAATTCTGCGAGTGCTACGACTGTTGAGTATGTACTGCTAGGTCTACATGATGCATTTGAAAGTCTTGTGTGCGAGTTAGGCTCCCAGCTTCTGTACAGTTTGCAACATGCCGGGTAGCAGCAAAGATCATGAACGCCGTGATGTTGATCAACCAGATGAGATGGGTGACATTTTCAGCAGCTTAACACCTCGGCAGCAGACGATACTCTACGGAATCCTCACCAGTCATTCGGTGAGTGGTGTTCTTAGAAGACTTTGGCCAAAGAATCCGTGATTCTCAGACCTCGAGGCCCTCCTACTACACCCTACAGACCTCCGAGAAGCAGTAATGTGGAGACCGAATG